CATGAGATGAAAAAAAGTTGAAAATCGCTGGCATAGCAATGAGAGAAAGGGATATGTAGGCAAATGGTAGCTTGCACACAATTCAGAGGCTTAGTGCTAAACATCAATTTCCATTTTTTCTCTTGCCCTGAATTATTTAATCAAGGTATTCAATTGAAAGTAAAAACAAAATAATTTTGAGTTCCTGCTTTCAGTTCTCCTTCCAACCTTCTGTTCGAGGTGCCAAAGGTCTGGAGGTGCCAGAGGATGCAGATAAAGAGAGAACTTGAGTAGTGGATCTGCAGTGGGATACTTAGGCCTGATAAAATGTTGATTGCAAAGGCTACCCTATCACTTCTGTGAAAGATTACCTTAGAGCAGGTTGTAATGTGTTGAACTGATCAGGAAAGAGATACTTTTTACACCTTTGGATGATGGTCTAAAAAAATGTGTTTTTTAACAGTTATGTCAGGTTAAACCCCGGACACTTAGCACATGATTGCTTGATTATGCAAATGCTCCTATTGTGCCTTTTTGGGTGGACTTATTACAGTTCAGAGTGATTCTGACCTTTGGGTTTGTGGAACTTAATAGAGGCTTTAGTGAGACCACAAACTCTTTAAAAGTATACTAAAAATTAGTATATTTTTATGGCTAGGATGCACAGCTTCATTAAGTTTATGTGGAGGTCCATGATCCAAAGCTAATTAGGAGCTTTAGTTACAACCAGGAATTAATTTGGCCTCTAAAGACCAACATGTGAAAAAAAATGATTGCAGCTTTGTTTATATTTCTTCTTTGACTCCTTGGGGGGAAATGAGTTGTTCACTTCATTCTTTTCTTCTGATTCAATTCATGACCTTTAGGGCTATCGCATCCTCTCTGCAAACAAGAGAGTGAGTTATGCTGACTGTGTTATTGCCAGGATTGGCTGCACAACCAAGGTTCTCCTATAATGTTCGGAAGTTCTAGAGTTTTTAATCAATTGGTTGCATTTTTAGCTAATATATTAGATAACAGAACTATTAGCATTTTTTTTAGCTAATCTATTAGACAACATAACTATTTTCTATTTAAACTGACTTAATGAATGTTTACTATTCAAGAACTATTCTATAATTAAAACCTGACACAAGAATGATTTATACATACATATGTATATGCTAAAGTTTGATTTAATATGCTCTTAAATTTTAAAATGTAGAATCTACTATATTAAATGAGAATTTAAAACTAGAAAGCATGGCTTTTCTCTCTTCAAAAACTGAAAATTATTTGTTGATCCTACCATTTTAAATATAGTACAAATAAAGACCATCAGGAAAGAGAGAAATACAAAAAGTAATCTTAGAAAATTTGAATAAATTGTGATTCTAAAGTTTGGTTGTGAAAAGAATAATCAGTTGAAGTCATTAGAAATAAATGAAGACATAGTAAAGCTTTAACATGCAAACAATCTAGGTGGGGTCCTTGTATATTCAGAGCTTTAAAGCAGAAATAAAGGATTTGACAGTAGCAGCTTAGTTGGTATGATAGCGGTTAAGTAACACTGGATTTGAATTTAAATGAGAATACAAAGTTGAAGTTAAGCATCAGTGAACACCTGACTTATTATAAACATTTGAACTTCAGTGATGTTTTAATGGGGGGAAATCATCTTATAATGAGTTTATAATATTTTAGCATAATGTAAGAAAAAATTTAATGTCCTTAACATTTGCACATAATCAACACTTAGAAGCTTAATTATTATGGTGTGTGTGTCTAACATAAATAGTGGAAAAAGTCATTTTCAGAAATTATTACTTTGAAATAGGAGTCTGTGAAGCAAAGCAATGTTAATACAATTAGGTAGGTTTTAAATATTTTTTGGTTGAATGCTAAAACACAATGAATTAGCTGTATTATCCCTAACCATTTCACTCAGTGCCTTTGTCACTCTCTCTTTCCATTGCACTATCTAAATAAGGAAAACTCCACAACCCTTCATGTTTTTGTGCCATGTACCAATGTGGAAAATCACACAACTGGGCAGAATATATAATAATAATAATGCCAACCAACATTTATACTCACTGCATTATGTAAGGTACAATGCTAAAGTTTGCCTCAAGCATTCCATTCCTCACAACAATCTAACGAGGGGGATACAATTATTCCCACTTAATGTAAAAAATTGAGGTTTAGAGAGCTTTAGTCACATGTCCAAGGTCACACTTTCATACCAACCGCTATCATATTAACTAAGCTGCTACTGTCAAATCCTTTATTTCTGCTTTAAAGCTCTGAATATACAAAGGCAAAGCCAGGATTCCAACTCTGTCATTCTGACCCCAGAGCTTAGGCTTTTTTCTTCTAACCATTTAAATACATGACACCAAACTCAAATGAACATCTAACATTTTCTGGCACGTGACCTCCCTTTTAGGCTGATGAACTACTTCTATTTCATTGAGAACAGAGAAAATGGGAGAAAATGTTCTCTTCCCCAAATCAATCCTGCTGATCTGTATCAGTGTATATATCAAGTGGTTAACAGCCTGTGCTCTGCCCCTTACCAATTATAATGATAGGCCCAACTTCCTCATCTGTTTAATAGGAATGATAGCAGGTACCTACTTCAAGAATTTGTTATGAAAATGAAACACGTTAATGCATGTAAAGCACTTGGAACAGACATAATACATTGCAAGCACTCAATAAATGTTAGCCAGTATCATTACCTTGTCCCTCCTCGCAACCCCCAATCAAAAATCAATCTGGCTATGTATCATCTGCTTGGCTTCTGCTCCTTTGATTATCCCTTCTCTCTGTGCTGAGTTATAAATCTCTCCCTCTCTACAGTACAGTCTGACAACTGCCACTGAAACGGAAAACCTCGCTTAACCCCTCCAGCTACTGTACCAGTCTCCAGCCCTCTTCACAATCCTGTTCAGTCTCATTTGCTGGCTCTATTTATTTTATTTCTTTCCTAAAAAATAGAGTTCCCTGGGGCTTTGAACTTGGTCCTTTTTAGAAATACTCTCTCCAAAAATGATCTCATCTATTCCCATAGCTTAAAATAACAACCATATTCTGATGATCCCAAATTTGTATCTCCAGGCTAGGCCTCTCCTTGGAGGTCCAGGTACTCAATATCCTTCCAAATTTTGAAAGACTGTTCACTTTTAGGGTAGACTAAATGTAAAAATGTAAATGGGCCTTATGTGTTTAGCTGGAACTTGAGTGTGATCATAGGCTTATCCTGTATTCTAACTCAAGTTGTGTTCTACCACTGATTTTGCCAATTTTCTATGTAGCATTCTAATATTTAAAAAAGACTTAAGAGCAAACCAAGATCAACCAATATTTGCATGCATGATAACATTTCATCATCTACTATTTAAATATAAATCAAAGCAGAATAAATTTCTAAAACAAAACCAAAACACCCACACATCCTTTGTACTGTGCAAATGATGAAAAAAAATTAAAACCAATCAAAAACTGAAATTGTTCATTACATTAGTATTTTTCTGCAGACAAAACTGAAGTTCTTTGAGTGACTTTAAAAGGAAAGATAAACCTATCTTTAGTTTTGCAGAGCAGACGCAGATAAACATGTGAAATGCATTAGCAAAGACCTGGCGGGCTAAAGGATGAATCTAACTGGACGTGAAGGGTCACGATCAAGACTGGAATTAATTTCTCATTGTTTTCTTTTTGAAGTTTTCAGGCCTGTTCTGTTTCTGGCACCTCTTCCGCTGACTACTGGGAGCATCTTGTTTCACTTAGGCCTGTCCTCGTTACTCCTTTGCAGTACCAAGTTGCAATCTCTGGCTAAGTCTTAACTCCTTACTTCATTTACCGCAGATACTGGGATACTGTTGCTTCAGCTTTTCCCTATGGTCTTCCTTAATCATTTTTCAGGGGAGCACATTTTCATATCTGGCGGTCTTTGGATGTAGAAGGAGAGAACTTGAAGTACTGATTTAGCGCGTATGTTATTGCCTATCCTTTCTAGGACCACTGTTAAACAGTGAAATCTTTTATCGTCTGTTTCCATAGTTCACCCAAGTTGGTGCCTTTGTTTGCATTGTAGTCTAACTACATGCAGTCTTTAAAACAATTTTAAAAGTGACAGTTCCTTGCAAAACTTCCTTAACTTCTTATTTAAATACGTCTGACCCTTCCCACAGCCTGACCCACTTTTCTCTTCTTTCTGCACTTAATTTGTCAGAATGTAGCAGTTTCCCAAAGGAGAGGGAGAGGACAAACAAAAACCATGCTTGTCTGCTACATTATTTACAGTCTGTTTCTAAGAGAAATTTGGTCCTACGTAGCTAGCAGTACCTGGTTTGAAGCCTGATGGGAGAAAAAAATGTTGCAATTGTCTTTAAGAATAAGAGGAATGTTACCTTTGACAGGAGACATCCTAATCAAAGGGCTTTATCCTAAGAATCCGAGAAGATGCCTTCGCCAGTTTTTCTCTCTTCTTGCCTTATATAGGTAAGTAAGCAACAGCAGGCTGGGGCAGGTAAGTGATTAAAAAAACAAACGGGGAAAAATTTTCCAGATTAGCAAAAAGAATTGCAGAAGTAATTCTCATTCTAGTTTCTGGAGAAAGCAAAGGTAAAGAAAGCCACCTAAAGGAGCTGGTGTATAAGTCAGGGGAAATGATGGCAGAGTCCAGTTGTTAACTGAAGAAAGTTGAATGAAAGGGCTATTTATGAAGGTTTGGGCAGGGTTAAGGGACTCTAGAAGAAACTTGAGAAACATGTTCACTGAATGCATAACAAATTTATGCCATCTGACTGGTCTTCAGTGACATCACAGTAATTAAGAGTAGGCATGAACTTTGGTGACAGGCTGAAAAGGGATCCAGCATTACCACTTTCTATGGGTGTGATCTTTGGCAATTTAAAAAAACCTATCTGCATTTCATTTTCCTCACCTGTAAAATGAGGATGATACTATCTCAAAGATAGATGAGAAAATGTAACCTAAATAGTAGCACCTGACAGTGCCCAAACACTTGAGTGTTAAATTTAATTATCATTCCTTAATTTATTTTTAGTAGAGATATTATAATGTTGGTCACAAAACTATTATTATTTATAATCAAGTTTTGCTGTAACAAAACATTAAAAGAAGCTTAAGTAGAAGTTTCTCTTTCATACAAAATCCAGATCTAGAGAGGCCGGGTTTGGTGTGGCAGTTCTGCTCTAAGAAGCCCACACACCTCCCATTTCCATTTTTGTCATCCTTAGTAATCGGTCCTTGTCCTCATGGTCCAAGATAGTGGTCATTGCATCCTTGTTACACGTGGCAGAATGAACTAAGCGGAGAAGAACTGGTAAAATGAGAGCAGCAGCAGTCTTCAAGGGAGGTTCTTGAAAGCTGGTATCCCACTGGTCAGAGCACTCGTCCTATGGCCACAGCAGGCTGCAAGGGAGGCTAGGAGATGCAGTTTATTTCTAGGGGAGAAAGAGACAATAGATGTCTAAGGATAATCCATACTGCAACCCCTGTCACAGGAACTGTTTCTAGTTATCTTCATTATCCTCAAGGGCCCCAAAGTCACCTTTTATGCCCCCATTTTTTCCTATATTTATTCTCCATTGAATC